TTTTTTTTTTTTTTTTCCTGCTTTAAGAAAGGGTGATTCCTTATCTGAGATCATTTATTCCCGTGGCCACCTGGTATCCACCCACCTTTCAGGACTCACTGAAGCCTTACTTTAAGAAGACTTCATTTGGAGCTCCAGGTGGAAGTGACCCACCCTTTGCTGTGACCCCACTGAACCTGCGCTGACCATTTACAAGAAGCTAAAGTGAGAAAGAGGCTTGGTTTAAGCTAGCCTGAAGAGGTGAGGAATGTGCTGAGAGCCTTGACGTCTGGAAGAAGAAACTGGAAATTAATTTTTATTTAATTATAACTCAACAAATGTTGAGTTTTATATGCCAGTCACTGAACTCATGTCATACACCTCTCTGCCTGTTTAGTCTCTTGACAACAAGGTTAGGAGTGACTTCTGGGCCAAGTTTGATTCTAGACAATATCCCTGAAGTTGCCTATGATCATGATCATGAATACTTATAAAAGAGGCCAAAGTGAAGGGCTTCATTCCCTACATCACAATTCTGGAATATTTCACAAAATACTTCAGTCCCATGATTCTTGCAGCAACCCTGAGGAGCCACAATTCCTGCTTTGTAAGCAGAAATGCCTCTTCCCTCCCCAGAACTGGAAAAGCATACCAACTAGAGACTAGAAACCCATCTAAGTTACGTGAGGGATCTTCATAATGCCCAGCCTCTCCTCTAGGGAAGAATCCTTGACTGGATTGGTTAGCTAATCCCATATTTAAATTATTTTGAATATCTTAAGGGGAAATTACCCACATAATACTTTGCATATAAATTGCTTATCAAATCTCAAAGCAGATCTAAATTAACTTCTTCAGATTTTGTGATTGACATCCTCTCCCCAGCTCCTTCCCCCCACCCCCCACCCCAGAGTAAATTCATGGTCTCCTAGCATCAGTCAAGTTTGTTTTATACCTGTCCTTTTAGCTAGAAATCCATCTTCAAATTTTCTGAGTGATCTCATCAGATAAATGTTTTACATAATCAGGAGAGTGCCAGAAAATGCATGTAACAGTGTCAGATGTTATTTTCTTAGAACTTAGAGTTAATCCTTGGAGTATGTTGAATGATTATTTCTCCAGGAAGTATCTAGAAGGCATTCATATAGGCTTGGAATAGAGTCCATCTTGTTCTTCATAGTGCCCAAAGCAGTTCCCAGCATATAATAGGTGCTCAAGAAAACGATACTGAATGAATGTTCTTGTTGTATTTTTTATATGTGGAACTCATACTTGCTTTTTTTGGTACCTGTATCCATCATGAAAGGAAAAGTAGCCTTTTTCACATGCCAAATATGGCATGAAAACCAATTCATGTTTTTGAGAAGTTTTGTGAGAAATACCAGCTCTTTTTTCATTATTTAAGCAAGGCATGTAGATAGGTTCTTGGGAAAACAAATTAAGAATTTTCCCTCTGAAGCGTTACTCTCTTCTCCAGGACTTTGGACTTTAGTTAAGACTCCTCAACTTAAGCAAATGTTTCAGGATCCAATTAGGCAAATGGCCCAATGGTGATAAATGCGTAGCAGGGATATGTTCACCTTCAAATCTTGACCTGAGTAGATCCATTCAGTTCGAAGTGTTATAATGTTTAGAAACTCACTACTACTTCAAGCCACTGTGGCAACATATCTGCTCCCTTTTGCCCTTTGCAATTAGTATTCTTATCAGTAAGTTACATAAAGTACTAACTTTTGGATCCTCAATTTCAGAGCTAAATCATTGCCTCTGTATAATCCCTGCTTAGCCCTAAGAAAATGCCTACATTTCAATGAAGAAAAGGAACTAGGAAGCAGACGATCTTCACACAAAGACATCTGTACTACCCCTATAGCAAGAAAGCTCCGAAGAAGGTTTTATCTTCTTTTGTGTAGTCCACCAAGGAGATGTCACTGACATTAACCATCAGTTTATCCCCTTCTTGCAAGGAGAACACAGCCCCGAGGTAGATGGGTTGGAACCAGTTGCTGCCTATTTCACACACTGACTTGGTCCCCGTTAGGAGCTGGGTTGGCTCGGGGTAGCTGTCTGTTACCTTGGTGACAATCACGATGATGGAATCCGGCTTGCTTGGTTGTCTCGCTATGCTCATTTTACCACACTCGGATGTGGTTCCTCGGAATGTGACCTGCGAGTAAACAAAGTAGTCTCCGGACTCTGGGATGAGCAGGAACTTATTGGTGTAGTTCATCCGATTCTTAGTGAAGGCCAAGCCAAGTTCGTGCTCCCAATGTAGAGCTGGGAACTGATTTTTCAAGTTCTGTGTAGAACTTTGTTTGACAACTGCAAAGACAAGAGACAAGTTGAATTTGTTCATGTGAGAACCTGTGGACTTCGCTAAAAAGTCTGCTCTCATTCTGAGAATAAGGTGGTTGAATAAAACCAACAATTAGGTGCCTTGGGGAAGAAGTAGAACACATGAGAGTGAGCATATATTTTGTTTAAAGAGAGCAGCATTTTGTACTTGGGCAAATTACTTTGCCTCTCTCATCCTGTTTTCTTATGATTTCATATAAAAAAAAGGAATACCTGTGAAAGGCATTAAAACAGATGGTGTATACAAAGTGTCTGGCTATTATGTTGTTAAGTGTCATCAAGTTGGTTCTGAGTCATAGTGTCCCTGTTTAGGATTTCAAGGAGTGGCTGGTGGGTTTGAACCGCTGACCTTATAGTGAACAGTCTAGTGCTGATCCTACAGTACCATGCTAGGACTCCTAGCTATTGTGTTGTCATTGATGTTAAGTGATGTTGACTTGGTTCTGACTCATAGAGACCCTGCATAGGGTTTTTGAGGAGTGGATGGTGGATTTGAACAGCTGACTTTGTGGTTCAAACCGACCTTGCTGTCTAGTGCTTTATCCCACAGTGCCACACCAGGACTCCTTAGATATTACGAGTAGCCTCTAAACTACATTCATTTTCATAGCCTTTTTATTTTAAATGTGCTGTGCTATGCTACCAAGAGGAGTTTTGGTGTGGCGCTATAGGGTAAGCACTGGACTGCTAGCCGTAAAGTCGGTGGCTCAAACCTACCAACCAGTCCTTAGAAACCCTATACACAGGTCGCTATGAGTTGGAACCAATTCAACGACAACAGAGAGAGGATATTTCAGAAAGAGAGAGAGATAGGTATTCTTTACCATGCTACTATATGCTATCCCAATGCTATGGTCCAAAGCGCGTGAAACGCAGGCAATGATTAATAAAGAATCAGCATGCAGGACATATATTGGAACCAGAGATCTAAAACATTTTGAAAATGTTTCTCATATAGTTGTTGTGAAGTGCCATCGAGTTGATTCCAACCCATAGCAACCAGTGTAGGGTTTCCAAGGAGCAAGAAGCTGGTGAGCTTGAACCACCGACCTTGCAGTTAAATGACTTTGTAGTCTGACGCATTAGCCTACAGTGCTACACCAGGACTCCTTTCATATAGAGACATGGTCAAAATATAAGCCAGTAGTTGCCTGAGAAAAAAAGGAAGACTCCCCCCACCCCCACCCCCAGTGAGATGGATTGCCACAGTGGCAATATCAGTGGCTCAAGTGTAGCAGCGATTGTGAGGTTGGCCTAGGACCAGGCAGTGTTTTGTTCTGTGGTGCACAGGGTCCTATGAGTCGGTACTGACTTGATGGCATCTAACATCAACAACAACAACAGTTGCCTGAGGAGTGGAAGTGACCAGGGCATGGGGGCACTTAGGCCCTGTTCCAATCCTGGCTCTGCCACACACTAACTTTATTAATCAACTACAAAAGTTCCTTCTTTCTCTGAGCCTCAGTTTTCTCTCTGTGAACTGAGGATAACATGACATTTTGGTCATAATATCAAAAATCAAACCCAAACCACTGCCATTGAGTAGATCCTGATTTATATATTGGATTTCCAAGACTAAATCATTACAGGAACAAACAGCCTCATTTTTCTCCAATGGTGCAGCTAGTGGTTTTGAACTTCTGACCTTTTAGCAGTCCAACACCTAACCCACAGCACCATAATGGTTGGGCACAATTGCAGTCAATAATTATTTCTCCCCGCCCCCCAAAAGTAAACCCTCATCTTTCATTTCAATGTATTAAAAAATAAGCTTATTTTAATTTGTATTTTATATGTTCTTTTGTCTGCATTATTCACAAGTTCACATTATAGAGAACCTATGAATGAACGCTTTTGTGAAATATGTCTGTAGCAGTGCAGGAAAAAAAATGAATAAAATAAAAATGTTGATTCAAACCAGTGATTTCAAATAAGATATTCTGTGATAAAACTAATAAGTTTTAGAAGTCAAAACATATTTTAATTTTTGGAAATTGCTTTTGGAACCTATCTCAATTATGTATGTGCTGACAGTCTAACAGTTTTGGGATAGTTTATGTTTAAAGAGACTATTTAGCACCTTCACAGGAGGTGAGTGACCAGATTTCTTCTAAAGCTTCCCCACCCAGTTTCAATTCCTTCCATTCTTATAAGACAGTGGTGACTGATGGGGACTCTCAGCATCTCCCTGATCCCAATTTTTACTCAAGACACACCCCGAATAGTTTCCTTTTAGTTAAACATTAAGATACATATATCTTGGACTACAAGTCTGTTCCCCTGTGGATTGTGAATTTCCTTATAAGTCAGGAAAACACACTTGTTTGGAATTCTCAGGCTTTTCAATCAAAAAAAAATTTTTTTTTTCCTTTAACACATCTTTCTGTACTTTTTCTTCCAAAGTCCCAAAGACCTGTGAAACTCCTTAGAAATTTCCACAGTAGACTGGGGAAAGTGGACAGCTGGTGATAGTATGAGATTCCTCTTTATTTCTTTACATCAGTGAAAACTCTGTGGAAATACTTAAGTTGAATAGGGTGTAGATGGACCTCAGAAATTGGCCTCACAGGGCATCTGTCACCTGTTACTAGATTCAGAAAAGCTTGCAACTATAGTCTGAGGAAAGCCATTTCTGAATAATTGGGTGTGTGAATGAAAGAGAGAGACAGAAGAGCAAGGAATAGGGCTGAGAGACTCTGAGAGAAAACTCTCAGGAGACATGGATGAACCTTTGGGCCTCTCACATGGAGGAGGACATCTGAAAGCCCTTTGATTAAGAGGAGACTGTTGCCAAGTAATGTTTCCAGTTGGAAGCCAATGGAATGAGATTTGGCAAATTCTCTGAATGAAATCTCAGGACCCCAGGCCCAGCCCATGGGCTTCTGGAAAACACATCAAGGATTGTTACCTGTCAGGTGTGCCCTTGGCTTAGTTCCATCTGCTCTGGGAGGCATGTCTGCAATGAAAGAGAAATAAGCTTTGTATGAGCCAAAGGGTGACTTGTGCGAAGACAGCACTTTTGAGGGTTTCATGGAGGCTGTGATGGGGAAGAAACATTCCTCTCCTTCACCTTGTGCAATTTCATTTCTTAGGGTGTTTTGGATTGGAATGTGGTACCTACAAGCACCCACTGGGACAAGGAAAGGTCTAGGAGTCATTTTGAATGTAAATTAAACTTGGCCACATGACTTTGGACAAGTTTTTTACTTGTCTGAGACTTTGTTTTCAGGATGGGCATGACAATTCCTATCGTGGATGGAGGATACTCAGCATGATTCCTGGCACATGATCAATACTCAACAAATAACAGCTTGCCTCTCCTTTCCTTTTGTAGCCATCTGCTCCGGCTGGTCTTGTAGAAGCTAATTAGCCTTGTTTCTTCTACATGATTCCTAAAACCATATCCACTGATGCATATGGATGGTCTAACAGAACTGGGATGGGGAACAGATGGGAACCACTTTGTAGCTATATGACCTTGGCAGGTCCCTTTCCCTCTCTAGGCCTCTGTTTCCCCATTATTAAGTCTATAAGACTTTAGAATTTTCATTTGGTTCTCAAAGATGATTATACAGAATAAGTGCTTTCTAAATGTAATGATGATGATGACGATTCGGATAAAAAGCTAAAATTCATGGAGTACATGTGTTCTGCTAGGCACTGTTCTAAGCTCTTTCTAGGAATTAGCTCATTTAATTCACACTAACCCTTTCAGATGTGGTGCTGTGGGTTAATGCGCCAGACTGCAAAGCTGTTTGAACTGCAAGGTCGGCGGTTCAAGCTCACCAGCTTGGAAACCCTATACAGGGTCGCCACGGGTCGCAATCGACTTGATGGCACTTCACAACCGCAACAACCCTGTCAGATGTTGTTGTTGTTGTTAAGTGCTGTGGAGATAGCTCTGACTTATAGTGACCCTGTATAGGATTGCCGAGGAGAGGCTGGTGAGTTTGAACCATTGACCTTGTGGTTCACACTGACCTTGTAGTCTGGTGCTTATTCTGGCACCATTGAAACCATTTTTATAGATAAGGAAACTGAGACACAGATAGGTGATTTGCTCAGGGTCACATTTTGAGCAAATTCTAGAGCTGGGTTTGAGTTCAGACCACCAGTACCACATGCCATGTACTTGACCATGAAGTCTTCTGACTTCTCGGTGTCTGGGGAGGAGCCTCACTCTTCCTCTGGGTTTGCATCCCTGGGCTTAGCAACTTTGTAGCTTAAAACCCATCTCTGAACTTTCTGTATAACAGAATTACTAGAAATGTTCTTGCTCCCCACAGGAAAAGAAAGAGGAATATACTTACAAACTCGCTGATGTGATGGTCCCAACTTTTGTCCCTTTGGAGTCTGTTGGGAAAGAGAAATATGATTCAGGTCATCTGTCATCCGGACCCCAACACCATACAGCTACCCATGGTGGTGGTGGTGGCGTGCCATCAAATCAGTTCCAACTCATAGCAACCATGTAAAGGATTTCTGAGGCTGTAAATCTTTACAGAAGCAGAAAGCCTCATCTTTCTCCCATGGAGCAGATAGGGGATTCCAACCGCTGACCTTGTGATTAGTAACTCAACACATAACCACTACACTACAGCTATCCATGCTGTTGTTGTTATTAAATGCTGTCGAGTTAGTTCTGAATCATAGCCACCCTGTAGAGAGTTTCTGAGGAGTAGCTGGTGAGTTTGAACTGCTGACCTTGCAGTTCAAACCAACCTTGAGGTCAAGTGCTTATTCTATGGTGCCACACCAGGACTTCATAGCACAGGCATAATTAAGAGACTGTAGAATAAGCACTGAACTGCTAACCAAAAGGTTGGTGTCACTAACTCGATGGCACTTAACCACAGCTACCTAGGTTGGGTGCCCTGAGATGAGGAAAACGGCAATACCAATATTTTGATTGATGGGAATCTTGCAACCACATTCTCTTTCCCTTCTTCAGTAGCACCAATGACCTTTCTCTCTTATGCTTGTCTTCAACCGTTAGCTTTAAATTTCTGTCCTGTTAACTTTTCCTATTCTCTTCCCTAGCATCTTGTTATTATTTATATTGTTTGAATGAATTATGACACTTTTTCTTTTCACCTTCACAATTTAAATATTGGAACTAATTTTTTAATGATATAAAAAAAGAGAGAAAAAATAATGGTCATGGTACAGCCTTAAAAATGCCTTTATTGTAACCATGGCAATGAAACGATATACGATAGGATGAATGTAAAACTAATGTTCTCCCATGTAAACTATCACATAATTCACAATAAAACATTAAAAAAAAAAAAGCCTTTATTTCCACATGCTACATGAAGACTTTATTTTTAAAACCCTACTTTGTGAACCACAGCAGATACCACAAGTGGAAGAATAACTGCTTTGGATCAGACCTGAAACTGAATCCTTGTTGTTGTTAATTGTTGTCGAGTCGGTTCCGACCCATAGCGACCCTGTACAGGGTTTCCGAGGCTGTAAATCTTTACGGGAGTAGAAAGCCTCATCTTTCTCCCATGGAGCGGCTGGTAGTTTCGAACCGCTGACCTTAAGGTTCGCAGCCCGATTCGTAACCACTACACTACCAGAAACTGAATCCTAGTCCACCATAATATGGTCTTAAGCCAGATACTTTTCCTCTGTGAGCTTTCGTTTTCTCGTTTGTAAAATGGAGATAACATCCCTTATCGTTAATGACTCCCAGTGCTCATTTGAAGATCAAATTATAAAATGTATGAATCAACACAAAGGATGCATGAAGGAACACCACTCACTTGCTTTTGCTTAGAAACAAAACCATCATTTTACGTAGTTATTTGTTTTGGAATAAAACCACCATTTTACATTTTACAATGTTTCTAAAAAAAGCATTCTCTGATATTATTTGGACTCAACTCAGAGTCTTCTTATTTGGACACAGTCCTCACTAGCAAAGCACCCTCATGCCACCATGATCATTTGATCAGTTTATATCTTAAAACCTTTCTGTGTGCGTGTGTCTGAGAGAGAGAACTTGTGAGTCAGGAATAGTGTATCTGAATGAGTATGTTGTTGTTGTTGTTAGGGTGCCATCGAGTTGATACTGACTCATAGTGACCCTATGCACAGCAGTGTAAGTATAAGACAGCACAATTCTGGCAATGGGAAAGAGTTTGAACTGATGTGCTTTTGCATCTGTGTATATACAACATATAGGAGAAAGATGAGGCTTTCTGTTCCTGCAAAGATTTATAGTCTTGGAAACCCTATACAGGGTCACTATGAGTCGAACCAACTCGATGGCATTTAACAACAACAATCTACTGCATATATTTATGGTGTGATGTGGTGTGCAAAAACATCTCTCCATATGTACATGGGTGCCATTGCTGAGTCTAGTGAGCAGGAGAGAGCAGGTCTGTGAGCAACAGTGACTTTGTGAGAGCCCAGACTCCCAGGCTCTTTTTACTCTGGAACCTTCTGCTGGGAGCCATCTTGAGGGCAGAAATCTTGTCTTCAAGTGATTAACTAACTTCATTGTCTCTCCAGATCATTTCTCTCTGTTTCCTAATTCTCTTAATGGTGCCACTGCTATGTTCCCAGGCCTGAAATGGCTGTTCTTTTTATTCTTCCACATACTCAAGGGTTGTCATTTCTATTTTTGTTTTTTTTTTGGTTCTCATTTGTGCTTCCATTCCAGGCCTTAGCACTCTGTTCCCCTGGATTCTCCCAGCAGCCTCCTAACAGGTCTTCCTGCTTTGGGTCTCTCCCTTTCTTAGATCCATTTCCTAGCCTACTTCCAGAATGGTTTGTCAAAAGCATTACTATCGAGATACAGTTCTGCCCCCAAACCTTTAGTGACTTCCCATGGCCTTCTAGACACAGTCGAAAATACTTATCTAGGCAGTTAGGTCCTAATTTTCATCTCTGTCTTGTTATCCATTATTTACTCCTCTCCAAGTCCCCTCCCTGTGCTCCAGCCATAAGAGACAAGCGCAGTGAATGATTAAAACCCAAAAAGCAAAACCAAACTCACTGCCACTGAGTTAATTCAGATAACTTTGCAGTTCTCAGCCCAACACCTACTTTACAGCACCACCGGGGCCTGAATAATCTAAACCCATAAGAACCCATTGCTATAAAGTCAATTCTGACTCATGGTAATCCTGGATAGGGTTTCTGAACTTCATCTATTTCTCATGGAGTGAGTGGCTGGTAGGTTTGAACTGCTGACCTTTTGGTTAGCAGACCAGTGCTTATCCTACAATACCACCAGGGATAATTGAATGATTCAAAGGACCTGAAAAATGCAGTCTGTGTAGTCATTGTTTATGGAACAATCAGCTGTGCTAAACCCTTTAATACATTATCTCCTTCAGCTTTGCAACAGTCCCTTCAGGTTGATGAAAATCATGCTAAGGTAGGTTAAATGACTTGCCCAAGGTCTCACACAAGGAAAGAGGAGTAGTAGGATTTTAACCCAAATCAATTGATTCCAGAATCCCAAGCTCTAAACCATTACTACTTAGAGCTCCTGGATGCTTTTCTCATCTGCATGATCTTCCCACCATGCACTTTGACAGTGGAGCAAGCACAGAGGCCAGAGGACCTGGACCTGAACTAGAAGTGGGGGATTCAGGGGAATTATCCCTAACTGGCCTCACAGTTTTGGCATGTATTAGATAATAAAAGGGATAATGACTATTTCAGACAAGATCAACAACTTATGTAAGAGTGAGGAGGCAGTTGGGAAACTGCAAGGACTTCTGCTATCCAGTGAATCCATTGTGTACACTTAATGTACGGTCATGACTTCATGAATAGAATGCCCTTCTTAGGAAATTTCAACTCAAATGATCTGACAGCTTGTCCAGCATCAGTAAATTTCTGGGTCTCTGAGGTAGAGAAGCAGTCCAGAAGTGAACTTACTCTGTATCTGTTTCCTTACTTACTATAGACAGAGATGATAAGGAATTGGTCCTCAGGCAAGGCAGAAAACTAAGGAGAAACTGCAAGAGGGAATTGGGAAGAACTTGGCTGCATTTCCTTATGTAGTTAAGGGTACTTGCCCTGGTTGGCTTTTCCCAGTTCTCTGCTTAAAAGTTTTTATTTTTTTTAACCATTCTGTTTATCTTTGGCTAAGAAGACACTCAGTTAAGAGTTTGCAGCATTTCTTTTTAGCTCAATAATCCCTTTTAATTAGCATATATATGGAATGCAAAAACATTTTCCTTATTTGTACTGGATTACTGTAAATTGGTACACATTTAGCTTTTGTTATGTGTTGATTTGATTGGCCCAGAATGCTATAAGTACTTCGAGACTATGACAACACTCGCTGGTAAGTATTGAAGACACCAACATCCCAAGAATTCAAAAGAAGACCATCAGCTGGGATTCCTCCTCAAAAAACAGCTTTGACAGCTCTGCAGTGCTGCTTCTATTACTATGGAGTCTCCATTGTGGAAAGAAGAATGTTGTACTGATGGGGGTGAGCATGAGTGAAGAGGATAGTTCAGAGGCTGAAATAGTAGCTTACTTGGAAAAGATTTGTGCATTTGAGTTGGCTCAACACATGCCCTTAAGATGTTGTTGTTGTTAGGTGCCATCAAGTGGATACCAACTCATAGCAACCCTATGCATAATAGAACAAAACACTGCTTGGTACTGGGCCAACCTCAAAATGGTTGCTCTATGCACGAGCTCATTGTTGCCACCACTGTGCCAATCCATCTCATTGGGGATATTCCTTTGTTTCTCCAACCCTCCACTTTACCAAACATGATACTGGTCCCTCCTGATGATATATCTGAAGTATGAGAGATGAAGTTTGGCCATCCTGGCTTCTAAGGAGCACTCTAGCTGTACTTCTTCCAACACAGATCTGTTTGTTAATTTGGCTGTTCATGGTACTTACAATATTCTCCTCCAACACCATAGCTCAAATGCATCACTTCTTCTACAGTCTTCCTTATTTACTGTCCAACATTCACATGAATATGAGGCTATTGAAAATACCATGGCTTGGGTCAGGTGCACCTTAGTCCTCAAACTGACATCTTTACTCTTAAACACTTTAAAGAGGTCTAATGCAATACATCATTTGATTTCTTAACTGCTACTTCCATGAGTGTTGGTTGATTTGGCAAAATGAGGCCTTTGACAACTTCAATCTTTTCTCCATTTATCATGTAATTTATTGGTCCAGTGGTGAGGATTTTTTCTTTACGTTGAGGTGCAACCCATACAAAGGCTGTGGTCTTTGCTCTTCATCAGTAAGTATTTTAAGTCCTCTTTGCTTTCAACAAGCAAGGTTGTATCATCTGCATATTGCAGGTTGTTAATGAGTCTTCCCCCAAACTTGATACCACATTTTT